TCTGCCTTTATATACACTTTGTCCCAAATACTGGCTCACACCACCAAATCAATGCACAAAGCAGGGTCCACAAGGACATGGATGAGCGTGTGTGGTGTGAAGGAACTTGACTGACCTGCACTGAACCCTGACTTGCTTTGTGCTTTGTGGACTGAGTTCATTGATTTGTAGGGTGAGCCAATACATGTGACAATTAAAGTGTAAGTAGCTGAAATAATTTTTAACAAACGGGTAAAAGAAGGAAAAAAAACCTATTGGACAGAGACAGCTTCTTGCAAGATGGCGAGAGAGCTTGTCTTCATTGCTGTTCGACTCGTGTAAATGTCCAGAAAGCATGGGCCATAGATCGTCTGTGGAGACACAGATAACAACACATTGTTCACTTAAATTATAAATGGCAACAACAGTTATCTAATTTGAAGTTTTCCACTCAAATTCAGTAAGCCGCTGGAGGAAAGTTGTGACATGAGGGTTAATGTGAACAACCTTTCGCTTCACAGTGGTCCCAGTCTTTCTGCTTGTCCCAACATTGGAGGTACATTTTGTTCCCTCTTCAGGGTTTATCCTTACCAAAAAACCTTAAAACATGCCATAATAAATAGTAACATAGAGTAAGTTGAGATTTGAAATAAGTTGAGTTACTTAGGGATAATTTATTCATCATCTATCACTATTAGCTAACTGTTCAAACATACCTCTGAATTAGTTCCAATGTTGCACACGCAACATTGGAACTATTGAACCTGGTATTCCAGGTTCAATACATAGAATGAACCAAAGAAGACTGACATCGCATCAGCAAAGGTGTTCTCTTTGTCAAGCTCAACAATTACACGCCCCTCTGTACTCACCATCCAGCAGGTGGCAGTCATTAAATTTTGTCCTTAAACGTATAGGGGCAACATTGTCATTATGCAACATAAAATAATTTCAATATGTCACTTCTTCACACTGTCTAGATAGTCATAAAGCAAATAGCTACGTACAGTTAATTATCAGTGACCTTATGTACATAAGTCCGTTTTAACATATTATAATTGCACATAATTGGGAATTATTCTGCACATTTAACACACCTAACAAAGACTCAGCCCAATTAAATTACCGGAGATGAATCAACTGTATGGTTATTTTGGAGTTTATAGTTTGTGCTGCTGTTGAACTTTACAGTATTGACTTCAGTATTTCTGCTGTTAGTGTAGCTAGACTACCATGTTGATCAGTAATATGTAATGTGAAATTTGATATTGTTACTTAGCTGGATTCACTGAGACACATGTCTAACAACCTTGGTTTATAAAGGAAATTACAGAAATTTGAACTAACAAAACAGAGACTGGATACCTGTGTCCACGAAAAGCTCCTGTGCCAAACAGAATTTGTAATATGGTCTAATCAATTCTATTTCAAAAATGACTTCTTACCAAGCATGATCAGCCTAGGGGTGATTGGCAGGTTGCTCTTTGCTTCAAGAGACATCCTGGTAGATGTTTCCTGCCAGAAAAAGGACCAGGACATTTTATGTAACAAAAAAACAAAAAAACAAAAACAGGACAGCAAGCAACAGCATTAAACCTGGAGCTGTATGAAAAAAGCTTACATCTGCTAAGACAAAGAGGGAGTCTTCGTCTTCCTTGTCATACTTCACCATGAGAAGTATGGCTGCTGTACCAACCTTGTTGTTGGTCAAAACTCCCTCACTTTCTATCTGCTGGATGAGTGTACTTATACCAAGTTTCCATTTGAGCTTCTGGCTGGAGAAATAGTTAATAATCCTTCTGCCTTTGGTTATGAGGGCCTGACCTAAGCGCTCACTAATATCAATGCCTGTGAGTTTGTAAAAGTGGTTCGAAAGACCTTTCCCAGTAAACAAGAATGGCCACTGCTCCTGAATTTCAGCTACTGAAGGTGAGAGACAACTGTTGATAAGCTACCACTGAGAAATATATGTGAGGCACATGAAGTCATCCACATCAGGTCTCTCCACAGCTCCAGGTCCTTGTGAATTAAAAATTGTAAACAAGATGTGTTTCTTTTCCTCTAAAGAAGCTGGCGTTTCCCCCTCAGGAAGTTCAACTGGCTGCCAATTAATACAACCATAGCTATCAACAAGGCATCTAACTTTTTTAGGTGGGGTTGCATTACTGTTGGGACTGCAATCTTCCTCATTCCTGGTTCTCTTTGTTTGACGAAGTCTATGTGTTGTATTATCTCGATTAACATGTTCAACTCTAGATTTGATGCTTCTTAGTAGTGAATAATGTCCACAACCCAGTCTTTCTCCCTTTTCAGTAAAATCTGCAAATGTTTGAGGGTATCTGTTTACAATGATCTGAGCAACCTCTTCACAAGATGCACGTTTAGGGTTTCTGCAGTGAACTTGCACAACTCCACAACAATTCTAACCATACTTCTCCTGTCCTCTGGATGACCTCTGTCTCCTCTTGTGATTGCATGCGACAGTCAGAGTGTAAATCTTGCCCAAGGAATCTGTAAGTGTGAGACCCAAGAGCTGGAGTAATGGTTGTACATAGTGGTGGACGTGGAGGAGGAGGGGTGAGGTGGATGGCTTGATGCTTCAGCTGATGCAGCAGGGCAAAGCTCCAGAGTAATGGTGTCATTCAGGTTCTCTGGTCTGTTGCCATCTTAAAAAAAAAAAAAAAAAAACATTGGAAAAGCTACTTCAAAAAGCTACTATGTCAACAAATATGTCCTCACTAAAAGATGAACCCTACAATTAGGACTTAGTAGTAACGGCAAGGCAGTTTTGGGGACTTTGTCTGAAGATGAAAAGAAACAATCCAAGGACTCCAAAAGTACTACAAACTCAAGGTCTTGCATTGAAAAGTCATAATACAATATATTTTACAGTATGTCACAATCTCCACCCTTAGTTGTACCACTACCAATGAAAGGTTAATGGTGTTAGATTTAGTGTCTACTTTTGTTTATTTTTTCCGTGTTAATTATCTACCAGACAATGTGAGCCCCAAAACGCTCTTCAATATTTTATTGTCAAAGTACATGAGTAGTATGGTAAAGAGAAAAAAAAAGCTAATCAAGCTAATCAGTGACATATGAGTCTATGAGTGACCTTCAACTCATAGACTCAAGTCTATGAGTTGTACAGAACCTACACAAACCTCCTTTAAATGCAAGAAGTAGTTTACGTATTTGAATTGGTGTGAGAAAGGGTTTGAGATCTTCCGCCTCCACAAACAAAAGATCACTTTTTGTTGTACACCAATAACGTCCATCAGATGTTCTACAATGCAGATTATTTTCTCTCTGTCTAGTGCCGGCAGGAGGCTTGTGAGTTCCTCTTTAATTTCCATCTCTGAAAAAGAATTAAGAGGAAACTGAATGGTGTAGGGAGACAACAAAAAGGCCTGCCATGTTATAAAGTGGTAGTGGGTAATAATCCATCCGACTGTCAGCATCTACACACACACTTCTTTCTGTAGGGCAACGCAAGCAGTGAAGTCCAAGGTCAATGAGAAGTACTGAGTGATGCAACTTGAGCACAAAGTACAATTCAGAATCGTTAACAAGTATAACAGCTATCTTCCCAAAAACCAAGCCATCATCAGTGTCATCTATAATGGAAACATAGCCTTTGACATACTTGGTACCTTTGTAGACAACTGCTGACACATCCAAAGTGGTCTGATTAGTGCAGCCTGCTTTTGCCACAGCTTCTTGAATGACAGCATTGTAAAGATGATGATTATAATCACTTGCTTCTCCAATGATTTGAACTGTAGGTGGAAACATTTGGCCCACTGAGAGGTAGGACTGCAGTAACTGATGCCGTTCTGTCAGAGTCTTGCATAAGTTGACAAACTTGTGCGCTGTTCTTGTACATGCTTTGAAATACGAGTGCTTGCTCTCAAACCTAAGGGTCCACAAACAAATGAGTGGTCCAAAGTGAAGGATAAGCTCTGCATAATGTAACAAATAGTGATGTTTAGCTTTTAAAGCTTTGTCAGGAAACCTACTGTGTCTCAGATGTACAGTATATAGTCCTCTATCAGTATCTTTAGGTAGGCAATGTCATTGTGACTTATTTTGGGGGCACATACAAGATCAACAATGTCTCTAAGTTTAAGGTATAACTGCCAAACCTCACTATCCACAAGATGTTTTATCTTTTAACCAATGTACAGAGGCAGAAGTCGTAGAAGACACC